GTATATTCAGTAACTTTATATGCATGTGAAAGTTGGACAGTGAATAAGGAAGATTGTAGAAGAATTGATGCTTTTGAATTATGGTGTTGGAGGAGAATATTGAAAGTACCATGGGCTTGTCAAAAGAACAAACAAATCTATGTTGTAAGAAGTGCAACCAGAATGCTCCTTGGAGACCAGGATGGCCAGACTTCATTTTCTCATGCTTTGGACATATTGTCAGGAGGGACCAGTCAATGGAGAAGGATATTATGTTTCGTAAGGTGGAGAGTCAGAGAAAAAGAGGCAGACCCTCAGCGAGACGGATTGGCAAAATGGCATTATCAATGGGCTCAAGCAAAGTGGCAGCATCAAGCAACAATTGTGAGGTTGGCCCAGGACCTGGCAGTGTTTCATTCTGTTGTGTATAGGGTGCTGTGAGTTGGTACCAACTCGATGGCACCTAACAACAACAGTTTCTCCACCACCTTGCCAACACCTGTTGTTTTTCTTTCTTTGTTTTGGTCATTACCATTCTAAAGAGCATGAGATGGAATTTCATTTTGGTTTCGCTTTACACTTCTGTAAGATAAATATTCAACCACAAGGTCCCGTTGAACCCTAATGTCAGGGGTTCAGACTCACAGCCACTCTTTGGAAACCCTGTACAAAGTCGCTATGGGTCAAACCAACTCGATGGCACTTAACAACAACAACAATAACCATCACCAGTCACGCCTTGAAAACCCTATACTGGGTCACTGTGAATCGGAATGACTCCATGGTACTTAACAACAGTAACAACAGCTGATGGACTGGACCGCAAGGTCAGCAAGTCAAACTCACCAGCCACTCCTCAGAAACCCTATACAGGGTTGCTATGAGTCAGAACTGACTCGAGGACACTTAAAAACAACAAAAACAACCATGGAATCCTATTGTGGGACTGTACGATAAGCACTTGACTGCGAACCACAAGGTCAGAGGTTCAAAATCACCAGCTGCGCCTCGGAAATCCCTTATGGGGTCTCAGAACTCGATAGCACCTAACAACAGTGGTGGTCAGAGGAACCTTGGTGGGTTAAGTGTTGGGTCCACCAGTTACTCCACAAGAGAAAGATGCAGCTGACTGCTACTGTAAAGACTTGGAAACCCAACAGAGCAGTTCTACTCTGCCCTCTAGGGCTGCTCTGAGTTGAAATTGACTCAAAGGCAATGAGTTTGATTTTAGTTTAAAGGTGGTCATAACTGGATGGCAATTAACAACCACAGTAAAATGGCTAATGACATTGTACATGTTGGTCATTTGGATATCCTTTTTGGGGAAATGTCTGTTGAAGTCCTTTGCCTATATTTAGGTTCCCAAGAATTTTCTCACTAGCAGTTACTTACCTTGATTTTTAAATTATTATTAAATTTATTTTAAGACTTAGTTAATAAATGATTTAGTAAATAAAACCTGGTCAAAAGGGGGAAATGCAGAGTAGAATATCGAATTCACAGACTTCCTGGAGCCATGGAGGGTGGATAAAAACATGAAATCATTGTCCTGAGATAATCTTCAAGTCTTAAATAAATAAAAAAAATATGCTCTGAAGTCTTTTTAAAACCAAACAATACTATATCTTAACAAAAAAAAAAAAAAAAAAAAAAAGCTATGCCTTCAACATTACTTATGCTCTTTTAAGAACTATATATATAGGATCAACAGCAAGTGAAAAGATTAGATGGGAACCATAGGGGGCAGCGAGTTTATGCTAATGAGGGAGGAAGAACTCAGAAAAGGAAGGTGAGATTGGTTGCACAGCTTGAAGAATGTAATCACTGTCACTGAATTGTCTGTGTAGAAAATGTTGAATTGGTGTGCTTTGTTGTATATACTCAACGTCAACAAAATAAAATTTAAGGAAAAAAGATTGATAATCAAATTGAATTTTAGGTAGCTCTCTGGCTTTATGTGTCTTGGAGGGCACAACTCCTAAGCATATCCAAACTCCTTTAGCATATCCAAAGAGCATACTCCATTTAGGCCTAAGTTCCTCAGCACATCCCATAAATAGTCTCACCAGTGGCCTCTCACCCTACCCTTTATGAAGTTTATCATATGGCCAAGTACTAACTGAAATATTCTTATCAGATGAGGTGACTATGAGTTGGAATCTCCTCTACAGGACCTAACAACCAAAGCCCCATGGTATTGCCCCAACATTATCTTCAGAAGTGCATCCATGCTACTGAATAAACAATTCCTCTGCTTGGAATAACCACTCTTCCTATTCATTTCCCCCATCTTTAAAACTACCAACTATCTTTCAAGACATAGCTAAAGTTTCTCCTCTGAAGCCTGCCTTGGTTTACCCCTTCCCTCAAGGAAGATTAACTACTTCCTCCTGCCTGCTTTTGATTTTTTTGTTGTCTATTTTTAACATATAAATCTACCATCCTTTACTTAGTTACTTAGATTCTCTTATTACTCTTTGAATCCTAATGGCCATTCCATAGCACATCCTCAAAACTTAGTAAGTGCCAATCACTTGGAGGCTCAAATGCTCCCACACCCTAACACATGCCCTTTCCCTCCACCCCCATCCCCACTCCCCTCCACCCCCACCCTTCCCCAGTTTCCCAGCCCCCTTGCCATTGTGCCACTACACCTCCACCTTACTGCCAGCCACTTTAAGTCTGTCTGTCTGGTGCTGTACTGGTCTCCCAATTTTCTTCTTGAATCTAGTCCCCATCAGATATACCCAGTGGCATTTCTACCATTTCCTCCATTCTATATACAGAGTCGCTATGAGTCAGAATTGACTCCACAGCACTTAACAACAACAATAACATCCCATGTTCTGGTTGTTTTTGTTGTTAGGTGCCATCGAGTCAGTACCGACCCATCGCGACCTTATGCACAGCAGAACGAAACACTGCCCAATCCTGGGCCAGCCTCACTACTGTTGCCATGCTTGAGTCCATCGATGCTACCACCTGGCCAATCCATCTCATTGGGGTCTTCCTCTTTTTCTCTGACCCTCCAACTTACCAAACATGATATCCTTCTCCAGCAACTGCTCCCTCCTGACAATATATCCAAAGTATGAGAGACGAAGTTTGGCCATCTTGGCCTCTAAGGAGCACTCTGGCTGCACTGCTACCAAAACGGATCTATTGGTTCTTTTGGCAGCCCATGGCATTTCCAATATTCTCCTCCAACACCATAACTCAAAAGCATCAATTCTTCTATGGTCTTCCTTATTCACTGTCCAGTTTTTGCATGCATATGAGGGAATTGAAAACACCATGACTTGGGTCAGGCACACCTTAGTCCTCAAGCTGACATCTTTGCTCTTTAACACTTTAAAAATGTCTTGTACAGCAGATTTGCCTAATGCAGTACATCATTTGATTTCTTGACTGCTGCTTCCATGAGTGTTGATAGTTGATCCAAGAAGAATTAAGTCTTTGACAGCTTCAATCTTTTCTCTGTTGATAAGAATGTTGTTTATTGGTCCAGTGCTGAGGATTTTTGTTTTCTTTACAATGAGATGTAATCCATACCGAAGCCTGTGCTCTTTGATCTTCATCAGTAAATGCTTTAACTCCTCTTTACTTTCAACAAGCAAGGTTGTATCATCTGCATATCACAGGTTGTTAATGAGCCTTCCTCCAATCCTGATGCCACGTTTTTCTTCATATAACCTAACTTCTTGGATTATTTGCTCAGCATATAGGTTGAATATGTATGGTGAAAGAATACAACCTTGTCGCACACCTTTCTTAATTTTAAACCATTCAGTGTTCCCGTGTTCTGTTCAAACAACTGCCTCTTGGTCCAGGTACAGATTCCTCATGAGCACAATTAAGTGTTCCGGAATACTCATACTTCACCATGTTGTCCATAGCTTGTCATGATCCACAAAATCGAAAGCCTTTGCGTAGTCAATAAAGCACAGGTAAACATCTTTCTGATATCTTCTGGTAGCATAATGATTGTGATGAATCAGGCTGCTAACTTTAAGGTCAGCAGTTCAAAACTACCAGTGGTTCCGCGAGAGAAAGATGAGGCTTTCTGCTCCTATAAAGATTTACAGCCTCAGAAATGCTATGCAGGGTCGCTATGAGTAGGAACTGACTCCAGAGCACATAACCACCATCATCCCCAATGTACACTATACTTCCTTATGACTGTCATTATTTTGTTACCTGGGGTCCTTTTGTGGTGCTATGGGATGAAGCACTGGACCACAAGGTTGGTTTGAACCACAAGATCTACAGTTTAAGCTCACCAACTTTTACTTGGAAACCCTATACAGGCTCCTATGAGTCAGAACCATCTGAAGGGCACTTAACAATAACACTTTGCTTTTGGTTCTTCTTCCTAATTCAAAGGCAGCTTTCTCCATTGAGCCTCTATGCAGACCCCTGATGATTTGTCAGTTTTGTAAATGAATCCTTAAGAAAACTTAGCCTCAGGCCATATACTCTGTCACTGGTTTGTGTTGTCCTTTGTTTCAGGAACCTGCTAGCACAGTGGTTAAAGCAGCTTGACTGCTAACCTAAAGGTCAGCAGTTAGAACCCACCAGCTACTATGATGGAGAAACATGGCAGTTATTGTTGTTAAGTGCCATAGAGTTGGCTTCAACTCGTAGTGACCCTGTAGAAATTCTTTGGGGGCAGCTCTATTCTCTGGAATCAACTCAATGGCAGTGGGTTTTTTGGCATATAGCAAATGTTTTTAAACCCAATAAACTAACCTTCAAATCAAAGCCTGAAATTAATAAAACTGAGTAGGGAATTCCTTTGCATTTTTCAGCTAGAGTGGGAGGAACTGGCTTCCTTTTGAATATAATTAACAAAAGGAATCTTTTCTTCCCTCACCTGATTATTGTCTTGTGCAGACCAGCAAAAAACAAACAAACAAACAAAAAAAAACTAAGATAAATAACTATTAATAATATTCAAATGGGCATTGAAGCATTTTTGCTGTCCTCTTTCTTGTGCTAAGTCCTTACTTTCTGTTTTTCAGAACACATGTGCACTGTGGTCTACTTTGATGACTGCATGTCCATACATCAGTGCAAGATATCCTGTGAGTCCATGGGAGCATCCAAGTACCGCTGGTTCCACAATGCCTGCTGCGAGTGCATTGGGCCCGAGTGCATTGACTACGGCAGTAAGACTGTTAAGTGCATGAACTGCATGTTTTAAAGAAGGAAAGGAAATGCAAAGCAAAGCGATTTTGTAAAATAAAAAAAAAGGAAGGTATGAAAAGTTATTCAGTGAGGTGAAGAATATATTAAAATTTTTGAGATGTGTTACTTTTATGATAAAACAAATGTAATTTGTTAAATTATATGATTGTAGCTGCTGTTATTGACATTATTGCCCACTAGCAATAAAGCCTTTCCTGTGATCTTCTAAATCTCTGTAGAGCTTTGGTTTAAGGAACAAACAGAGAATTCCTTGAAAGAGCTGTGTCTTTTGTTTCTAAAGTTTGGACATGTTCAAATAAGTTACGTTTTGTTGCCATTCTACACTGTGCCTTTCATTGTTTACCTGTTTTATAAATTGGGTAGATACCCAAATACATCACTTTGAAAACTCATAAAAATAAATAAATGCTTAAATTAAAACAAGGAAATGCTTACTATATAAGGGTAAGTCAAAAAAGTGTTGTTAGGGTTGTAGTTTATATGTACATGAATTTATTCCAAACAAAATGTCTCTGAGATCAATGGCTTCCAATGGAATAGCTGGGCCTGTTAAATTCAAGACAGGGCAGATCAGAAGGTTATGGTGACTGCTTTATTGTACCTCCAAAGAGTTACCCTGATAGATTTTCCTAAAGGACAAAGGGCAACCATGGGGCTTATTATGAAGAAATTTAAGAAAATTTCTTAAATTTAAAAATTTTTTAAATGACCTGGTAAGAAAAAGGTCAGGAATGCTGCGCCCTCTGAGGAATGTTTTTCTATCATAACAATGCACTGGCTCATTCATTCTTCAAGGGTAGCAAGAACTATCCTACAAGAATTTCTTTGGGAAACCTACCCCATCCACACTATACAGACCTGATCTTGTCCCTCCAGATGACTTTTTGTTGCCCAGACTCAAAAACATTTATAAGGAACACAATCTGAGTCCCTTAAGAATGCAAAAACTACCATTTTGACATGCTATAAATTCAAACATATAATTCTTCGGGGAAGGGTTAAAGAGATGGAAATGGAGACTATGTTAAGAAATAATAGCTTCATATTTTGGCATTTTCTTTAATAAACGTTTCTATGATTTTGTAGCCATACTTTTTGACTTCCTGGTATATATTACAATTTAAAACTATGATGTAACAGGTTCTTTCCTGTAATACACATGCTGATAAAACTTTAGGAAATTTTTCTCATTTTCTTCCATTCTCCCTGATCAAAGTGCTTATGTGGGTGGTAAGGAAGCATCTTACTGGGAATATCAGGGTGTGCTTTTGAAATTGCATTAAATAATTAGGTAAATAATTAGGGTGCTGTTGAAATCAACTCCATGGCACACCACCACCACCACCAAAACATTTCTTGTGACTTAAAGTACCAGTTTAAACAGCACCAGCGATGGTACATTACTGTGCTACAGGGCAAGAATGTATCTACTCTCAGAACCAAATGCTCAAAAGTGATAGGAAGGGAATTAACAGAAAAGAATTTATGAGTATGATCAGGGAAGGTGGAAATGCTATGAATTATCATAGGAGCCAAACTTAGACATTAATTTGTATTAGTTAAGTTCGTATCTGGATCTAATGATTTGATTAAAATTATACAGTGGGAAGTTAGATTTATAGGAAAATCTCCTGCTCGAGATGACAGTTGACTGGAGTCATCTCATACATTCTGTTGTCAGCTTTTATATCATTTCAGCAAAGACAAGTTGAAATACTAGTAACAAAATTCCAGTCTTCAAACATGAAACAAGATACTTATATTCAGACACTTTTAACTTTACAAAATTATTATTTTCTCTAGTGTGCCTTTGAATTACAAGTAACTTTTTAAGAACAGCTCTTTATATGTGTAAACATTTTAGTATATACAAAAATACACTCTTCCTGGATACATTTTGTATTACTTATTACCTAAACACTAGTTAAAGCTCATGTAATATTGTGATTGATTTATAAAATGTAAAGCCTTGATATTATTTCTACTCTTTCAGATAGCTGTAATTAATACAGTTCAAGTAATTTAGCCTTGTAAAATGTTGCAAGGTAGATCATGGATGTGTATTTTTAATAGGAAAGAATTAGGGTATTCTTTATTTTCTTTTATATAGAGTACCTCTCTAAATGTGCCTTAAAAATGTTTTTGCTCCCTTTCAAAATTAATATGTATAAAACTGAACATAAAAAAACTTGAACTTAAAAAAAGAGAAAGTTAAAAAAAAAATCTGCATTCATTTCAATTTGCCTCTAATTCAAAGTAATTTCATACCTGTGAATAGAAGGATTTTTTGTGATTATTTACAACATCCTTCATGTTTCTTTAAATATGTTAACAAATGTATTTTTGACTGGTATTTGCCACCTCTTTCATGTCTTTATTATTAAAATTTTAAATGTGGAATCTGTCCCACCTCCTACCCAAGGCTACATTGTTAGACTGATTCTTGAACCACATTCATGTTTGAACTGATTTTTCTTACCTCTCTCTCTCTCCCTCTCTCATTAGACATTACCCCTAAATGTATTGGGGTTTTTTTGTTTTGTTTTTTCAGAGTTTGCTTACTTTTTGTGTTTTACAAAGGCTTGATTGGAAGACAGAGTACAACATGGTCTGTCATCTAAAAGATTCCAATTCCAGCTCTATGTTTTTTACATTTTGAGTAAAAACATTTTTCCAATTTAAAAGTATAACACTGCAGCTGGGGACTCTAGACCAGAGAGGGAGAAGGGGCTGTGTGATGACAACCAAGGGGCGGGCTTGCGGAGTATACTGTTTGGTTGGTTGATAATGCATGGAGGTAATTGTAACCATGGCAATGAATTGATATATGATAGAATGAATGTAAATCTAATGTTCTCCCATGTAAACTATCACATAATTCACAATAAAAACCTTTTTAAAAAAAGGTATAACACTGGAAAAACCCTTAGCTTCACCAAATATAGACCTGCTACTGGACTGCAAAGTCGGTTTGAACCCACAAGGTCAGTGGTTCAGTTCACCATTCACTCCTCGGAAACCCTGTACAGGGTTGCTATGGCTTGAAACCGACTCGATGGCACTTAACAAAAACAACAACAACACTAGTATCCCAGGAGTACTGCTGTGGTGCTGTAGGATAAGCACTGGACTGCTAACAACATCAGCCATTCAAACCTACCAGCGCTCCTGAGAAACAATACATGCTGAGTCGGAACCGACTCCACAGCACTTAACCACAACAACTAACATCCCAAGCACAATTTATTTCTGTATTAAAGTTTTGGTTTAACAACAAAAAAAGTTTTCTCAATAAAAAATTTATCACCAACCCCTTCTCCCCCAAAACAACCCCCTACATTTTAAAGCAGTAGCTGTTATAAAGACCATATCACAAAGGGGCTTTCCTATCATCAGCTGTGTGTTTGCTGGTGGAATTTCTCTTTTCCTTTATTGCTAAAACTGTTTTCATACTAGTGCTACCAAATCAAATGATAATTTATGTAAAATCTCATCTTTGCATTACACATAATGCGATCAATTAATAGGGAAGCCTTGATTTAGGAATGTGACTTACAAAGTTTCAGAAAGCAAAATTTATGTTAGAGTATTTGGGCAGTTATTTTAGATCACAGAAGCGTTATCAAAATGAAGAAGAGGAACCAAAACTTTTTTAGGAAATTAGTCCACCTATAGTCTTATGTAATGCAGCGGCTCCGCAGGAAGCCTCCTTCACTGGTCATGTTGTAGTCCCATTTTAGGTATTCCAGCCAGTTATAGGCAGAAAACGGACTTACAAGCTTTCTATGATGATATTTCTGGCTATTCATTTCTCTCCCCCTCCAGTGTCTGTTTTATAATATAATGCACAGAAAACCAAGATTCAAAAGACAGCCAAGCATCTTAACATTATTTCCCCCTTTTCCCCATTCCAACCATGTCTCAGTCTCTATATCCTAGAGCCCTGTAGTTCCAAGGTTGTGCCTACATCATTCTTTACCTCTGTCCCACTTAGCCCATTCAAACCTGCCTAACTGTTCTCCCATCTGCTTTGTTCTTCCATTCCCCTCTCCCTTCTTGTATGTTGCCCTCCTCCCCAACACCCAAACTATCCTGTGTCTATTCCCTGCCCTGTTAAATAAGCCACATTTTTAAGGTTTGTTTTTATGAAAGCCTCTGATGATTTTTAAAGTCTATTCTGTATTCCCAAGATTGTATGTTTATTGTGTCTCATGACTTGTGGCATATAAAATTCTAAGTTTTTCTTTGGTTGCCCGTATAAACCAAAAAAAGTATTTTAATAAAAAATCTAAATAAATGGCATGTCTTTTGTTAATTTCAGCCTATGATTATTGTTGCAGGCTGCTGTCCACTCATCCCCCAACTGGAAGAGCAGGACTGCTCTATAGGATTTCCTTAGCTGCAGTCTTTACCAAAGCAGACCTCCATGCCTTTTTGCCCCCATAGTCAAATCGCTAACCTTTAGGTAGCAGCAGAGCACAAACTGCTTGCTTCACCCTGGCTCCTAATTTTAGCATAGAATTGATGTCCTGATAAAAAAGGAAAGAAACCAAGAAGATTCTGACCGATTCTTTTGCCATAACTAATTTTTAACATGCTGCTCTCTGCTTTTCATATGCTTTAGTCCAATATGGGAGAACCTTTGCCATGAACTATTTTACCATTCTCTTTCTCTGGGAATCTTCAGATCTAGTGAATATTAGACTGCTAACCATTAGGAGTCCTGGTGTGGCACTGTGGGTTAATGCGCCAGACTGCAAAGTAGTTTTGATCACAAGGTCGACCGTTCAGGCTCACCAGTCACTCCTTGGAAACCCTATTCAGGGTTGCTATGGGTCGGAATCGACTCGACGGCATTTAACAACAGAAACAACCATTAGGTACTGGTGTGGTGCTGTAAGATAAGCACTGAACTGCTAACCAAAAGGCTGGTGGTTCAAACTCACCAACTACTTCTCAGAAACCTCATGCTCATAGGGTTGCTATGAGTCAGAA